TTCCTCGATCTTTTTTCATCAAAAGACACCTCGACATTTTTGATATGTATACTTCGTTGCCTTTCTTTAAAGATAAAAAAACGAAAAAACTGCTAACAGGATTCGCTAGATTAGCAAGATTTGGCGTCCATCCTCCCTCCGTCCTTGGTACGTCCATCCTCGCGGTATTTTCGTCAGACATTTCACTATTTTGGGTAGATGTCTGATAATTGTCTATCTTTAAAGGGGAAAGTTACGGACAGACTGCTTACATGCTTTTTGTTGGATAGATTTGGCCATCCCTGAACACCCTGGTCTGTTAATCCTCGCTGTATTATTGTCAGAACGTGTTTTGCTATCTTTAGTCTAGTTGCTGATATTTCGCTATTTTTAGTCTGTGGGTTGTCTCCCAATTTCAGTACATTTTTGATTTGCGAGTACCCAACTGCGTACATATTTTAAGCGTAAATCGAAGAAGAGATCTTTTTGTCCTGGCGAATTCTCCGTTTACCAGTGACTATTTAAGTCGAGATTACGGAACAGCGGTTGTGCGCCGGACCGTATTCTGTTATTAGTCGCCCGTCAACGAGCCCTAATGTCTAATTTATGCTGATTGACGACGCAAAGCACTATGCTGAGAGGAAGTGATGAAGCTATTTTTGCTACAAAAGTATACCACTATAATCTAGTATCACCGACGCTATCAATTAAATTTTCTGTAACTCTTTTGATGATAAAGTCTTTTTTTGTGTTTTGAGCAAATCACCCATTTAGTAAGACCGAGTAAGCAGAGTTGCGACAAAGCCCTTTTATTTATCCTATTGTTGTAGCGTTTAAGACAATGGTCAAGCGCTTTTAAAGGAGCGTGGGATCCGCTAGGCTTTTGTATTGTTTACCTAGCTCTAAAAAGAGCAACGTGTGTAACAGAGTAAACGAACCGACCGAAACAGGACATTACGTATGAAAGCTTTCAAGAAGTCCCCTGCACTTTATCCAAATTAAGAGCTAAGAACAACAAAACTTCTGAATTAATGTTCTACACCATGTGCATAATAATAATTAAAGGCTGTGTGGTTTAGTTTCACCCAGGTAGAATCGGTAATAACACCAGTGCAATGCCTGTTAAGCCCAGCGGAATTGAATTCTCGAATGTGGTTTTTACGGATGAACGGGACAAAATTTTAGATCGGATATCTTTTTCCCTCCAGTACCTCAGAAACGTCGAAGTTATTTCATACTTGATTAAAGTAATGAGAGCTTTCCCTTTCCGATCGGAAAGAAAGCTCTAACCTCAAGGAAAATCTGAAGACAATGAACTTTTTCTGAAGTCAAATTTTGCTGATTTATTGCAATTTTACTTGTTTGGTCTGGATATTTTCGTAGTTGTTTTGCAGAACAGGGCGGCTTAACATCCAAATACCTGTTGGATATCGAGGACAGAGAGTCACTAATTTACAATGCTTTTTTCGATTATTCTCGATTAAAATTCCATGGGCTATACTTGTGGGATTCGAACCCGGAACCCATGTGAATCGATTAATAATAATAGACTTAAGAACTGGCGTTGAAGAATCACCTCGTGACCTTGATCATTAGCAATACTCATTTATCGCACCACGGCCAAGTTAGTCTATTGTGCAATTTCCAACATGGTTTAAACATCTTGGTTAAGCTTAAGGGTTTTACCAGATCCCAAATCGTCCTCCCTTCCAGATTGTCTTTTTTCAGACACATCATTTTCGTTATCCATAGACCTTTCCTCCTACATAGGCCTTTGTAACAAGAGGACGTACTCCGCTGTTTCTTCTTCTTTCTGGCAATATCTGTGCAAGTTTCTTCTATCCCCGAGTCTGTATAGATCTGGAGTATGGAGTGTCCATTCAGCGATCCTACTAACTTTCTAGTCCTAGCTCGTCTTAAGTTTATTCCATGATACTTTTATGAAGTTTTACCATCCCTCTGACATGGATTATCATTGAACTGAGGACATATTCTTAAACCGTTGTTTGTGGCAATTGGAGCAAAATTTATGACCTATGCTGGGATTCGAAACCAGAAGCAATAATTTGCAAATCGATTAATAATGATAGCCTTAAGGCCAAGCGTTGAAGAACCTCCTTGTGACCTTGTAAATTGACAGTCTTCATGTGATGGTTTTTGTCCATGGATAAAGTTGATGGTTTATGGAACTGTTATGTAGATATTTTATGAATTGATTCAAAAAGGTGTGCCTTAAGATTTGTCGTTGAAGACGCTGTTTTGAACGGTTATGGTTCATTTATTTCTGCAATTTGACTTTTTATAAGTGTATCTGTGACAAAAGTACATAAATAATTTCAAAAATGGTGGGTCTTAAGACGTATCTGATCTTGCAGGTTTAATGTTTGACTGATGCATTGGTATTAAAGTGTGTGTTGGTAATTTTTATGCAAACTGGTAATAAAAACATCAGAAGAACTCTAGCAGTAGTCTGTGCCAAAAATGTTAACCTAAGAACGTTCTTCACCTTTTACCACAGGGTTCTGCACAATGCACCGGTCGACACAAATTAACCGAGAGAGGGGCCGAACCGGTCAAGTCGAGTTGTACGACCGGGCCGGGATGAGATGCTAGTTGTGTAAGCCTTGAACTTCATTGACCGGGGCCACTCACGAGACATCATCAATCTCCCGGCCAACACTCCTCGGCCAGCATCAGCCGCTGTGGAAGGCATAAATAATAATAGACGTCGAATGAAACCTGTTATTCAATTCATAAAATAGAACGCTTTTCGATTGTTCATCCTCTAGTTTCCCTGTGATTTACAGCCCCTCTAAATGCATAATTTAGATCGAAATCTAAGTAAAAATGAAGGAATACGATTATCATAGGCTGTCAAGCTTTTACAAATTTTTTTTCACCAGCGTAGGTGTGATGTAGGATATTACATCCAAATTAAGTGAATTTCCAGTCTGAAATTTTTGCAGTTAATTCCCAAAAATTTCAATATTTTACATGGTAATAAAGGTGTGAATATTGGGTTCAAAGATAAAATTTCTTTGTTGAAATTTTAAAAGCAGCATATGCACTCTAATCCATCTAGAAGTATATCTCTTTTTTCTTCTCCTTATTGGGATGCATATTTATTCAATTCAAAAACTAAGTTTAAATAAATTAAGTTTGTTGAGGTCTGCTTGGTCGAATCGCTTAAACCTACTCATGATTATGGTCATACATGACAAAAAAAGTGAGGTACGTTATACGTTTTGAATCTAGAAGTGCGATAAAAATGATAAAGACACTTTCCAGTCCCTTACGACTGGTTTAAAGTTACGACCTATATCATTCTTGCTCAATTGAGATTTAGCAAAGCTGTTCTCAAACCAAGACATCTTAAGATCGCCTAATTTATTTTTACTTTCTAAACATCTCTTGGTTAGAAGACTACCTATGGCTAACTAAAGTTTTCACTAGGTTCTTCAACAATGCTTCCTACTTCAAAGAGTAGTCTAAAAAATTATGGAACCAATGGCCTAACCTTAGGGATAACCATCCCTAATCATGACCTGACCTAAACGCTTATTCGTTTTGTTAAATACTATGGGGTCTGAATACGGTGGATTTAGCATGATCTCAGGACATCCTGGTACACCATTTCACTATCTTCAGTGATTTGGTCTCTTTTATTCTTTTTTAAGGTGGAAGGAATGATGGAATAAAGTATGATCTAACCTAAAGTTTATTTTGTATAAATTTATTTTTGTTAAATACTAAGAGGTCTTAACGTGATGTTCCGAGCTTGATCTCAGGTCATCTTGCCTAATCATTTCTCTATCTTCAGAGATTTGGTCCGTGCATTGTTCCTTTCGTTCTGTTTTTTAATGAGAAGAACGATCAAACAGTGTAGGAATATGATAGTCTTGACTCTCGATACAAATTCTTAGGCTTCTTAAAAAATATAAACCTACGTAAATTTGATATTTAAATTGAATCTTTTGTATGAGCAGGGAAAACAAATACAGACACAGAAACAAGCGAATTGTTGACAGTTGGATCCGCCTAGGCTCGCCATATGTTTTCAGAATCAATTTTATTCCATCGTAATTTTACTATTTTTGAACTGATAATAGCACGATTTTGTTTGATTCAATCACATTGGTTGTTATAGTTAATGTTTTATAAAGATTAAAAAATTAAAATTATGTATACTTCATTTTCAAGGTATAACTAAGGGTTTAGCAAATTGATTCGAGTCCAATTTAAGCTTTAAAAAAAGTAAACACACGTAATATCTATAACGAGGTGCAAGCGTTATAAAAAAATAACTTGGTTGCCAAGTTGGTGGCCTTTTTCCAAAAGCGTCCGAAAAGGGGAGAAACTTATTTTATTTGACGTATTGATGGTTGAAATATCTAACTTGCGTAAGTGGGTCTTTTTGGAGTTTTTTTTTATAACTAATAATATTTAATTTTTCTCATTTAATATAATACTTGTTTTATGTTCCTAGTGTATTAAATAAGCCGGGGGCCTTGGTTATTGAGGGGTTGACGACGAGTGGTCAACGGACCCCAATTTACATGGATCGTATTAGGAACGCAGTCATCTTTATGAAAACATTTGTCTCAAATTGAAGACGATACATCACTGTCAAAGAGAATATTCCCGACTGTCCATTCGGTCGCCCTGGTTAATTCCTCCTTTGTTTACTGCCTTTTTTTTTATCCCGGTGAACTATTACGACGGATGTGTTCAGGTACCTGGACATCAGTTTTCCAATGGGAGCTGTCATTAGAACTTTAAAAATAAAAAGCCCCTTGCTTTCAGGCCTTAATTATCTACATCCTTGAATGAATCAGATTTTATTAACTATCGACGGTTTGCTGCTGAATGTCACAGCCTTTGGCCGCTTTCTTTCTAAAAATACCAAGGTTGTCCTTCCTTAACAGCTTCCTAGCTTATTGCTCAAACGGGCAATATTTCTTGTATTACTTCCACCTTTCGTCACAAGGCAAAAATAGATGGTAATTTAATTTATTTTACAGATCTGCGAAGAGGTTGTGAAAAAGAAAACCGACTACCAGAAAGACCTCGAGGTCTACCGGCTCATGAGATCCAAGTTCGAGGAGCACTATATTAAATGTAAGTTTTCATGATAATCATAGGTAAGACTTATTTTCAAACTTCACCGCTTTGGATTGTTCCAGGCGGCCGAGGAGGCCGAAAGCTAGACGAAGTAAGGGACAAGTACCAGAAGGCATGCAGGAAGCTCCACCTCGTCCATAACGAGTACGTCCTGCTGCTCTCCGAAGCCGAACAAGTACAGCGGGACGTGAAGAACTCCCTTCTGCCGGCTCTTTTCCACCAACATCAAAACACACTCAACTCCTTCGTGCTCAATTGGTAAGAAAATTGGACAGTGACGTACTCACCGGCCGAAAAGCAGCCTACTTCTGCGTACTTTATTGGACTTGTTATTTCAAACACGGCAAAGTTTAAATAAAATTAGTAACAAAGTAGTTCGTTATTTCAACCTTCTTTAGTGATGCTCCGGTGTTATTTAGCCAGTGTAAGATTTGTAAAAAAATACGAAATGGATGCAGCGGCAGCATCGTCTTTGTTCTGCTGAAGATGTCATCTAATCTGACGAAATGGGTCTGACAGACCAATAGAAACATACCCGAATAATTGGAAGTAAACGACCAAACTATAAAATTATATTCTCTTAACTCCCCTAAGGACTACCAAGACAAAACATTATGTTTGGGTCTACACCCTGGTTTTATGTAGCAATTTTGTGAGTTGTCACCTTATAACTCATACAAATTATAGAGATATTTTATTTATTTCTAGATTTTGAAAGAGCTACGAGGATTTTATTGCGTGCAAATTACAGTCATATTTTGGAGATTAGGATAGTCGTGTAATTTAGAGATGTATTTGTCTCGAATCCCTGCTTTACTCACCGACTTTCTCAAAACTGCATAACAAAAGCGTCAAAATTATGATACCAAACAGCACTCGATACCATTGTGCTTTGTTTTTTCTTGCAATGCTTTAACTGAAACTTTAACTTTATTATGAACTTGCAAGTTGAAGCGTGTTTTGCGCTTCTTGCTCACGACCTAGAAACAAAACGGGTCTGGTCGTAAAACGATACATAAATAACCAACCTAGGTGGTCTTCTAGGGTGGAAAATTCAGGATATCTTTGCACATTTACTAATGAGGAGTCTGGTTTGTCTTTCAACAGTGATATTTTTTCGTTTCGGAGAGAATTCAGCTTTTGCTTGATGCCCCCCCCCCGTATTCATGTGCGTTAATTCCCAGTACGAAGCCCTAAGAACGGTTATTTCAAGCAGCATACTGATGTGTTTGAAGTCTTCTGTTATTGTAAGTGCTCAGCTATTATTACAATAACACGATTCCTAAAAATAGGTTTTAATTTATTTTACAAACGTATTTAGTAGCCTTTTTTTGCGTCTTTTGGCACCGAATACCACGACGATCCGGGAGACGCGTTGTCAGCCCATTAGGGCGAATGGCCAGCAAGGAAATCCGGCGGCTAGTTGCAAATGGAAAAGACACGACATCGCCAAAGGCTATGCCTCAACCTTGCCCTCGGAATTTCTAACGAGAAAATGTCACAATTATTGAAAAAAAAAAAACTGGTGGCTGCACTCCCTTTCTTCGCGACAACGATCGTTAATTTACAGCATAGGCCAAGGGCGTGTCAGTTAGGCAAACAACGCCTCCATCTTACCAGCGTCAGAACAAATAGAAACAATAATTATATTACACCTGGTCTGCAAGTCGATGAACTTGTTGACAGGCTCAATTAAGATTGATATTTCCCGGTCCGCTCTGTCTCGCTGTAGGTTTAAAATCCACCCTCCCTAGCAATTAATGACCCTACTAGGCAAGAACAACCATATGAGAAACAACTATATAATATACAAGATCTATTCTATCAAGATTCATGTACATTTTTATTTTTTTTAATTATTTACTTTGTACAGGAGGAGTATACTGAAAGAAATCTCCCTGCACTGGAATTTTGCATCCAAGATGTTCGTCGACGCTTGGAACAGGAGCGAGGCACATATTGACACTATCGTACCTGCCAATGAATATGTGGAATTTGCCCAGAAACAGAGGTAATAAACTCACCTGCATCAAATTTAAATAAACAACTAATCACTATTTGTTTTCAGGATAAATGGAACGGAATTAGCCGACTTTAGCTTCGACAATAGCCTCGTTGAAGACACAAGCGGTAAGCTTTTTGCAAACACGCTTGCAGTCGACAACCTCACTGTTGAGTGGGTCAGAGGCAAACTGAATGAAGTTGAGCCTAGGCTTAGAGAATGCCAGGAAAAGCTCAGCAACAAAAACCCTAATCTACAAGATCTTAGGTAAGATTATTTATTAATTTTTTAATTAAAAAATATATTTTATTTGTGCTTTTGTGTTTTTAGTGAAATTAATCTCGCGGAGCTTCGATGTGAAGAAAAGAAACTCAGCAGGCAATTGGAAATGATTAAAAAAGCCCTGACTGAACTAGGATGTGAGGAGGCTCCACCAGGCTGTGATATTCCAATGGATACTTCTTTGGACCACCCTCATGAAAATCAAGTAAATAGTTGGATACAAATTTATAAAAATGTGGCAATATTTACAAATTTAATGTTGAACCACAGGTAGACAGTGTGATAGGCAGAAAACAATCTTTACCATCTCCACCGCCTCCGCCACCACCCACAATGCAACCAACCTCAAGCCTTGTGGACATTCTAAGGAAACCATTTAGACGCAAATCTGTACCAAGTTCGCCTCTAAGTGGCAGACATAATGTAAGATTTTGTTTACCAATTTTAATTATTAAAAAATTGTTTATTATTCGGTGTTTTATTCTGTAGTTGCATTAATGTGGTTTATTTTATTTTTCTCATTATTATCCAATTTATGCTATTCCCAATTTGTAAATGGCAAAGGAACTATCTGTTTTTGAGCTTATTTCTTTTATTTTCTCCATTACCATGATTTTCCTTTATTTACGGTTGGGAGGGTACCGACCGATGGCTGCATTGATTAAATGCATTGACACTGTGGCTCATCAATGTAGTGGTTCTGAGTTCGATTCTCAGCGATTTTCTGATTTTGAAGCCAACGTGCTTACAAATTTTTTTTTCTCAAAAACACCAGCTCCCTAGAGGTTGATATCACCTCTGCTGTTGCAAACCCCCCCATTATTGTTACTTTTTTTTAATGTTTGCTTCTTAATTGACAGTTGGGTACATCTAGATCTCTAGTCGATGAAGAATGGTTTCACGGAGTACTTCCAAGAGAGGAGGTCGTAAGACTTTTAACACGAGAAGGAGACTTTCTAGTTAGAGAGACAACCAGGAATGATGAAAACCAAACAGTCCTTTCGGTTTGCTGGGGAGGGCACAAACACTTTATTGTTCAGACAACTACAGAAGTACGTTTCTTTAAATAGATTTTTTTAAATTTTTTTATTATTTATTAATGTTTTTTTTTTCAACAGGGACAATTCAGGTTTGAAGGCCCTGCATTTGGTACTATCCAGGAACTGATATTATATCAGTATCAGAGTGGATTGCCCGTTACAAGCAGATCCGGTGCAATACTCAGACAGCCGATCCCGCGAGAACGTTGGGAGTTGAATAACGATGACGTTATCCTCCAGGACAAAATCGGACGGGTATGAACTATTGCCCATATTTCAAAATTTGCCTCCTTTTTGAATTCTAAAAAGTTCACTTGAATTTTCAGGGAAATTTTGGGGATGTTTACAAGGGTAAGCTGAGAGCAACAGAAGAGGAAGTGGCGGTCAAAACTTGTCGTATAACTGTTGCTGAAGAACACAAGAGAAAGTTTCTTCAAGAAGGAAGAATACTCAAACAATATGACCACCCTAATATTGTCAAACTTATAGGAATCTGCGTTCAAAAACAACCGATCATGATAGTCATGGAATTAGTAGTTGGTAAGGGATCATCCTCACCCAATTCAGAATAGGTCATGTGGGTTGACATGTCGACACTTACTTTCATGCCAAAGCTTGCATATTTAGGTCCCCTGTTCAGATTTTTGGAAGAGAGTTACTTTATTGTATATAGTACTAATATATATGTACCCATTTTTTTGTGTCCCCTACTGTGTAGAGAGTGAGTGTATTTATTGGTGTGAATGTGTATGAAAGAACTGATGGCAGAATATTGTGAACTCCATCAACCCTCAATTAGATTAATTATCTTATATGTGTAGAGGGTGATTGAGGAATATCAGGTACTCCACTATCCTGAGCGAAAGAATGGTATGGAAATAGGAAAGAATGTATTTAAGAGGGAGTGAGAGTGAAGGGGTTTGGATTTTGAAACTGATAGTGTTGGGGACTGAAAGGACCAGCTGTTGATAGCCCCTGTACTGCCAGCACCAATGGTGGGTGATTCTCGAGATCTGCCGATAATTTAATATCTAAGTTGATAATAATAGCCAATAATAATAAAGCTGGAATGATCAGTGGACTGTGAACTTGACTCTGTACACATGCATATCTGTGCAGAATTGAGCTTTTATAAATCAGTGTTTTTTCCTGTGTAATTCCTGAACATACAGGAAGGCTTAACATTTAACTAGCCGTTGGGTGTTACAAACGATGGTTAACACCACTTTATAATTTTTTTGTTCAAATTAATCTCTAATGAAATTCCCAGCATTGTGCCAGGATTTGAACCTAGAACCGTTAGCATAGCAAGTACAAATAGGATTCCTTAATGTCACCATGTTTTCCAATTCATTTCTACTGTGCCTTAAAAGTTAAACGAAAAATAATATCTATAAAATGAAAGTATGTTTGGTGTTGGTTGTACAAGCTATTATTTTAAACATTGTATTGATTTTATTACTATTATGTATAAATAAATGGCTCTTAAATTGTAATCATATAAAAGCAGACATATATTTACTGACAAACTATTTTCATTTCAAGGTGGATCACTTCTTACACATCTCCGAAACAATGCGTTAGTGGTCAATGTCAAGCAGCTTGTTTCAATGTGTCGGGATGCCGCAGCGGGGATGCGGTACTTAGAGAGTAAAAACTGTATACACAGAGACTTAGCAGCAAGAAACTGTCTTGTCGGTAAGCATATCGAAGGTTATTACCAAATGTTTTTTTTATTTATTTATTTTATTTGTTCTTTTTAATTTTAGGAGAAAATAACACTGTTAAAATATCTGACTTTGGGATGTCAAGGGAGGAAGAAGAATATATAGTTTCAGATGGTATGAAACAGATTCCAATAAAGTGGACTGCTCCTGAAGCCTTAAATTTTGGTAAGTCAGTTGCCATGTATATATGTGTGAATTTCAATTGATTGCATTTTTTTCAGGAAAGTACACATCGTTGTGCGATGTATGGAGTTATGGAGTCCTCTGTTGGGAAATTTTCGCCAAAGGTGGAACCCCATATCCCGGGATGAGCAATTCTAAAGCTCGAGAGAAAATTGATTCAGGTATTTCCAGAAATAAATACCTGAATACCAAGCGTACCAAGCAAAATGTATTCCTAAAATTATTTCCTAGGTTACCGAATGCCCGCACCGGACGGCACGCCGGATGAGATGTACAGGCTGATGCTACACTGCTGGGAATACCAGCCAGAAAACCGTCCCCATTTTGATCAGATACTCGCGAATGTTGAAAATCTTTATTCAAACTTGAGGTAGTCCAAAAGGTGAAAATAAACTATTTCTACCCAGACTTCTTTCATTTAAGTTTTAGTGTTAACCTAAGGATGAATATGATTATTTTAATCGAAGATAGCAACTTATCAAGTCCATTCCCTGGTAAAATAATATTTTAAATATTATGAACTTCAATTTAGATTTAATTTGTATGAAATATAAGTTAATTAAACAATATTTTAAATTTTTCTCCAAATTTCTTTTCTTTTTTGTGATTGTGCCATTTTTATGTATGTGTATAAAAAGAAAATGTTGTATTTATTGTTATTTTAATAACTATTGTAAAGTTTTAATTTAATAAAACAAAATGCTAATAATAAAAAATGAAGTTTTATCTACGACTAGCTTAATAACCGGGCAATCCCCAGGGGGATAATAGAAAGTATTATTTAACACATTGTTTTGAATATACATATTGCTATTGCTAGAGCATTAAATGAACACAATTGAATGTTTGATAACAACATTGTACTTAGTAATGATATTAGATATTTATATGCAATATTTCTTTGGTTTTGAATTATATTGTGTTAAATTGTAAAAACTGACATATTCAGCGCTAAAATCATTGCAATGCTCTTGTACATACAACGTTTTGGTGATTCCATTTGGTGAATAAACAAACAATAAATCACTTGGTTTCCTAGAGCTTGCAACATTTAATTGTCCATGAGAAAACCATGGATTATTCAAATTCAATTCACATAATAACAATGGTTGACCTTCTGATTTGTTTATCATTACTGGAAAAGCCAGATTAATTGGAAATTGCAATTGTTTGAATTGGAAAGGCACTTCTGTTGGTATCATTGGTACATGTCGCATTAGCACATCTTCTGTGAATTTTAATGAGAATTTTATGTACGGTCTTGGTTGAGATGAAATTGTCACGAGCAGGATTCGAACCCATGACCTTCGGCTCAATACACCACTGCTCTAACCACTTGAGCTATTGAGACTTCGATCCACTCGGACACCAAATCCTCATCTCAACCTACAATCTTTTGATTTTTCCTTTTTTTGCTGTATTTTCAAATGTTGTGTAATCACTATTCGATTCTCAGTGACATATGAAGTGGCCATGGAGAGCACTTAGCGAAGATATACTTCGTTTTACTTATTAATAAACCATTATATTTCATGGTCCGATGACCAAATAACTTCTTTCATTACAATTAATTAAGGTTTTTAGTTGAGATGAAAAAAAGTTAATGGCACGAGCGGGATTCGAACCCACAATCTTCGGCTAGATACACCGCTGCTCTACCACTTGAGCTATCTCAGGTCCAAGAGGTCACAATAGCACAAGTGGTAGAGCAGCGGCGTATCTAGCCGAAGATCGTGGGTTCGAATCCCGCTCGTGCCATTAACTTTTTTTCATGTCAACTAAAAACCTTAATTAATTGTAATGTATTAATTGGTCAAGCGGACCACGAAATTAGTGAATTAAATAACTTCTTTCAATTAATTAATCTTTTTATGTAAAGTATTGGTTGAAATGAAAAAGTTAGTGTCATGAGCGGGATTCAAACCCACGACCTTTGGTTCAATAGCCGCTGCTCTAACCACTTGCGCTATAGTGACTTCAATCCACTTGGATGCCAACGCCTCATCTCAACCTACAATTTTTTGAATTTTCTCTTTTTTTGCGGTATTTTTAAATGTCATGTAATCAGGATTCGATTCTCAGCGACTTATACAGTGTCGCAGAGAGCTCTTAGGGAAGTAATTACTTCTATAATTATTATATTAACCTATATATGTTTAGCAGTCATAATTGAACCTAACCACTGAATTTTAACTGCCATAGTTCAGTAAAAAAAAAAAGGTTTATTAACGAAGGTAAGACGAATCAACCGGCTAGACAGCAACAATTTATTGAGGATAGGGATGCAGCCACAAAGAAGTGTTACTTATGACAATGTAATGTAGCCCTGATGAAGACTGCGATAAAGGTCGAAAGATTGGCGAAGAAGTTACAACGATCACTATGTTGTGACCACATCCCTGATACTCAACAAACTGGAATGTTTATTAATATTTTACATAATTTAAAATTGTTCATGTATACATACCTGCAAAACAAAATCGGTTTTTTCTGGGCTTCATCTTTGTACACTGAATAAACGTTCACTTGGAGCACTTTTCTCAATTCTGATGGTTTGGCGGTCAGGCCACATGCCGCGGTAGTTAGTCTACACCACCGCTGCCTATAATAAATATACAACGGTGAAGTTTGTATCTTTATATCTTTACATCAACGAAACCAATTTTGTAGTTTTTGCGACTAAAATCTATCAGAATTTTTGCAACTATAATCGATTAAGTAATTTTTGCGAACATAGTGTTCGCGTAATTTTTCCGCCTTTTGACCGTTACCACCTCCAAATCGGAATTTGAAAGACGCGGGAAACGTATAATTACAGGAAAATGGTATTATTTTCTGTAAATCCTAACGCCCTTTATTTATACTACATGCCTTTTTTCATAGTCTGTAAAACTCCCGGGACTAATAAGACTAAACTGTGAAATTTTCAGCGAAATCGGTCTATTGAATGTTACCGCCTGGAAATATGAATTCGAAAAAATTTATTATCATATTCACTAGTTTCGTGGTCCGCTTGACCAATTAATATATTACAATTAATTAAAGTTTTCAGTCGAGATGGCACGAGCGGGATTCGAACCCACGATCTTCGGCTTGATACGCCGCTGCTCTACCACTTGAGCTACTATCGTGACCTCGAGCCACTCGGACATCAACCTCCCATCTCAACACCTTTTGAAATTTCCCTCCTTTTTGCCATTTTTCAAATGTCGTATAATCAATTTGAAAAATGGAAAAAAGGAGGGAAAATTCAAAAGGCCGGTTAGATGGGAAGTTGATGTCCGAGTGGATCGAGGTCACGATAGCTCAAGTGGTAAAGCAGCGGCGTATCAAGCCGAAGATCGTGGGTTCGAATCTCGCTCGTGCCATTGACTTTTTTATCTCAACTGAAAACCTTAATTAATTGTAATTTATTATCATAGTCGAAGGCCCGTCTAGTCTGCTGACAGCTGAGAAAAGGAAAGTGTAATGGACGCCACAAATTCTTGAAATCTTTTTTTTTTTTTTTTTGTAAAGCCTGACGCCCATTATTTGTTATATGTCCATTTTATAGTCTCTAAACCCGCCATGCACTAATAAAAACAGTTTCATCGAAATCGGTTAAGTAGTTTTCGTTTTTATCATTAATGTGCATTCGATATACATACATTCACTTTCACTTTTAGGTATATAGAAAAAGAAAATAGAAGACAGAGAAGAAGATAAAAACAATAGATAAACCCGTCTACGAATTGACTCACTCATAGCTACCTCCTTGAAGACTCCCACATCTTGCAAATCTATCACTATCATCCACATTTTAATTGAGTACCTTTTATATTCCTCAGATATATCCCACTACCAAATTCCCAACAATTTATATGATTTACAGAACGATAATTCGCCTTTCATGGGTAACATATTCAACTTCCCGGCTAGAAAAATTAATAAATAAAATCTAGTTATAAGGTTGCTTCCATTGCATGCCACCCATGTCGGTGGCAAACCCCAGCTTGTTTGGGTCCTCCCAGAGTCCAGTGATGATGTCTTGGCCATGCCGTCGACACACTGTCTTAAGGTCTAAATGACCAGTGGGGTCAAAGGCTTTACAAAAAAAAAAAAATTGTCTATATAGATAGATAATTTAAACCTTTTAAAGGTAAATCAATGATATATTATTAATAGACCACTAAATTCAATTAATTCTACAACTTAGATAAAAACAGACACAAAAAAAACTGAGAATATTTTATTATCGTCCAAAGTCTCAAGCGGGCTTTTGTCTCTCATGACCAATGCACATTGCAACCTTAGCGTTGATAAAATCCCGCAAATTGTTACGTTTCTAATAGTTTCATAAGGTTCTAGAAATAGAGAAAAATCCAAGGTATCAAATAAAGGTGGTATTATATATATTTAAAAAAAATTAAATTTATATTTATTTATATTATATTATATTTATTTATACTTATATTTATATTATAAACTTATTTACAAATAAAGCTTGATTAACTCATCGCTGACTGCAGAAGGAGTCAAAATGCCAAGATCAGTAAATAATAAACTGATATACGCAGGTGGAGTGTAGTCGACAAGGGGGTGCAGTTTCTCTAAATCCTTGCTGAGCATACTGTACTTGTACTAAAAACAAAATTTAATTTAAATTCAATTAACACTTGTATTGGGGGACTGGAATGTAATGTCTTTTCTGCATATGTCAATATTCTTTTGTCATTTATCATCTCATTGTATACTTCAAAGTCATCAACATTTTAAGGTTAGAATGACTTGTTTACTTGTAAATAATTAGATATCAATTTTTTTTGTAATTTTTGGTAAAATGAGCAGCCAAATACCAGAAGACGTACATATCCGGCATTGTATGCTTTTTGAGTTTCACAAGGGTAGTAATGCTGCAACAGTTGCTATTAAAAACATTTGTGATGTTTATCCAAGTGCATTAGATGTTCATAAATGCCAAAGGTGGTTTTCCAAGTTCAAATCTGGTAATTTTGATCTTTTCGACTCGTATAGACCAGGAATACCAACTTTAGACCAAGCGGTGATAAGAGCAAAAGTGGAAGCAATACTGTCAGACAACTGTCAAACACACTTAACAAGCATTGGTCGACCATCCAAGAACATTTTCAGCAGATCGGTACAGTAAGCAGACCAGGTGTTTGCTTCAGCAGCACAATACAGAAGCGTTTTTTGATCGCTGGATCAGTGGAGATAAAAAAATGGATCCTGTATGACAATCCAAAATGCAAAACGCTCTACGAAGGAATTGCTAAGAAGTACAGGTAAGCCAGGTTTACACCCCCCCCCCCAAAAAAAAGGCGCTTTTGAGTGTTTGGTGGAGTATTTATGGGGTCATTCATTTTTGAAGTGCTGAAACCTGGACAAACTGTGAACAATTAGATCAAGTAAATCAAGGCTTAATTGAAATGTGCCCAGTGATTGTCAACAGAAAAGGGCGTTATTCTGCAACAAGGTAATGCGAGACCGCACTGTGCAAGACAAACCCTAGAAAAATCAATTGGGGTAGAAGGCCTCACCCGATATTGCGCCATTTGATTTTCATTTATTCACTACAACATTTTCTAAGTGGGAAAAATTTGAAGGCGTCCAAAATGCCATCTCTAGATATTTTGCACAAAAAACCGATTGATTTTTATCAATCCGGCAGTGAAAATTTGCACACTAGTTGACAAAAAGTTGTTGATGAGTCATTGATCAAAAATAAATAATCAACATCATTGATTAAAAATAAAAATGTGTTAAAAATTTATGTTTGAATTTAATGTAAAAAAAAGACATTACTTTCCGGCCCCAATATAATTCTACCAAAAAGAATTCACACATAATTTTCTTAATTTTTTTCTTAGTTTCTTATATGCAAGAGGACAGTTCCAACAACTTTTTAGGTACCATGAACAAGAGAAGTTTTTCTCTATGGAACATATGAATAATTTCTGAGATTAGATATTATTTATGCATGAATATAAAAATGAGGAAGTCAAATATGTACTTATTTTAAGCTATAGCAAAATGAGTAAGCCCTCACTATTAGCCCCGATTCAACTGACTGATATGTTTATCAGTAAAGGAGTCTGAATATCAGCACTATGCAGTGCACATCAGTTTGGAAGATCAGATTATCCTGAGGATACAAGCTGTAGGAGCAGATCATCTGACAAACATTTCAAATCTTTCGATCCAACAATGGAATATATGGCTGGCAATCATTTCGCACAATAACAGCCTGATAACAAGAAACCTCTAAGATCCAACAGTTATTTCAGACAGCCAGATATGATAGTGGAAAATGTTTTATGGTCATCCCCGACTGCTCGGTGTGTCAAACTATTAACAGATTATAAAACAGTGGAGCTGCTCACCAATAAAAGGAAATTGTAGGGTGGTCATCCGACCGCCAGGTTCTACCATTGTTCCACACAATCAGATCTGAAAGTAAAAGAGGGTGGCCAGGTCGTAGAATCACAAATATAGCAATTGTGTCAGACCAGTGTTAGTGACCATCCGACTTCACAATTCAACAAACACTACAGACAATTTTATGCAATATATTACAGTAGAAAAAGTTTTCGTGGCATCCAATTCCATGATTCAACAAAAGTTACAGACAGATCAAATATTTGGAAATGTGCTGGTGTCCATCCAACTGCAAAATTTGACAAACGCAAATAAACGGATCAAATAGTGGGAAATGTTTATTTAGAAATCGTGAGATGCGGTCTGGTGTGATGTAGGTTTCAGAAAAACATTTTCTTTATCGTGCCAATGTTTCGATCTTTATTGAGATCATCTTCAGGGCCTGGGATTTGCGAACATAGTTTATATTTAACAAATACATGTAGGATGTGGAAAAAAGTGAATTTATACAATGCAAAATATATTTTTTATATATTCAATCAAAGTATTTCTACTCACTCAAAGTGTTTGTCTTCTGTGTAATTGTGACATTCTTGCGTGTCGTGTCGAGAGTGCCAGTGAGATTTTGCTATTTTGTGTTTATATATTTTGGATTTTGAAGGGGTGGGGAAGGATGTCGGTATAGAAAAGACATTTTTGTTTACGGCGTCGGCTTCTTTGAGGTGAAAAGAGCCGACGAAGGGAAAAAATGTGTTGGTAATGGTTCAACCTACATCACACCAGACCGCATCTCACGATTTCTAAATAAATATCGATTGACGGTCACTAATCACCACACAGTAGGAAATGTGTTGTGTTGTAGGCCATATAAATGAATGACTAAACAAAAGATTCAAACAATCGACTGAAATATTAGGATAGTGTTGGAGGCCATCTGACTGTAAACTTTGAGGTTAAGGTAAAAGGTTCAAACAATTGGATCCAATAGTATGAAATGTGCTGGTGGCCATTTGATTACCCAATTCAATAAAAGTTTTAGACTATCTCAAGCGGTACATAGTTGGGAAAGGGTTGGTGATCATCCGACTGCACTATTTGACAAAATTTACAATTGGACATAATAGAAGTTAATGTGGTAGTGGCCATCCAACTGCACAACTTTACAAAAATTATGAACAATCGGATCCAACAAAAGGAAATGTGTTTGTGACCATTCAAATGCATAATTCGACAGAAATTGTAGACAGTCTGATCCATTAGTGAGAAATGAGTTGGTGACCATCCGACTGCACAACTCAAACAATTATAGACAAACAGATCAAATATGAGGATGGAAGCCTACTACCTGCCAAGATCTGATTCATTTTTAACATTCAAAATGTATAAATACAGAGCATTTGAATATTTTATGTTCAACTAAACATTAATGAAAATCAAGAAAACTTCTGTGAAACAAAGTAAAAAATAACTCACTTTAAATTCATTAGGAAGATCCCTTTGATTTAAAGGATATAGCCTAGAAAATTTAAAACTTTCTGTAAGTACATAGAACGGCTTTTTCATAAGCCTTGCACATAGGGCCATTGTGTAACTTCCAACCTGAAAGAAATAACTTTTAAAATTAAAACAAAATATATCATAAATAATTGATAATTGTACGAAACTTACTTTATTAATTACTCCACCGCTTTCGACAACTCCTTCGGCGCCAACCATAACCATATCGACCTGCTCCATTATGTAGCCAATGGCAGGATCAATTATCACAGTACAAGGGATATTCAGATCTTTCAAATCATCAGCCATTTGTTCTCTAAAAGGATAAACCTTCTTAAATTGATTAATAGCACAATATTTTTAGAAGGGGAAAAAATTAAAAAATTACCCGCTATTGTCCGGTGTTGACATGGTAACATACACTTTAAACCTTTTGTTCTCCTTTGCTGCTTCTTTAAACGTCTCCAGAACTACTCTGGATTTTGAGTGGGTCAGGACGGTCTAAAAGTGCCAGGCTTGTAATAAACATATGGGAAATGTGAAGTTTGAGGTTTACCGATCCGTCGACAATGAATGAGGAAGCGAGTTTGGCAATTTTCCCCCGAGCTTCTTTTAGCTTGTTCAGGAAAACTTCGCCTCGATGTAGCATGATCTTTTTGCAATCTGCAAACGTCTAAAACATAAGAGAGCAAATTGTAAAACATGTAAATGGATCGTTTTGATTTATGCCTAACTGAATAATCCAGCGTGGCCAAAGTGATAAAACGTAAAAAGAGTTCTGAGCCTGATACGACAGCAGTTATTGGACAGTCTGTTTTCAGCATCACATCAACAGCTTTCTTCAGTTTCGTAACCAACTCTTGAACCGTGTCAGCTATGAATTTATAAAATATGTAAGTGAAAAGCTATACTATTTATCTTTTTAAACTTAAGTTTACAGGGCTTTACATTTATCATGTTTTAAAAATTTAAGTAGTGTGCATATTGCTGCGATGCCCGCTGAGACCTGGGTGTCATTTTTGACCATGTTGCAGAAGAACTTCTCGATTTCTGAAACACAAATCCGCCAAATTGGTCAGATTTTCGGGTTTTCGGGAGGGGCCTGCTTACCTTTATCGTTCATTTTTAAGGTAACTGGGTGCCGGAAATAAAAACCAAAAGGAAAAAAATTTGAAACGCGAGACGGAAATATAGTACACAAACTGACAATCAACACATCGTCTTCCTTTTTTTCTCCAGTCTCCACGCGGATAACAGCTGCGAACCCTGCCAAGCCTTTGAACAACCAATGATATCATTTTTCGTTCTCACAAATTTCAATGTAAAATGACTCGGGACTAAAATAGTCTTTTACTCAACTAAACGATTATTATTCATTTCAAAGAAATTTATTTTATTAGCTGAAAATCCGTATTTGTTTTGTAATATAAACTCCAGAGATTGAACAAACCCAATCAATTGCTCTCCAAAATTAGTACAAACTAAAAAAAAATTCTTTCTTGTTTTAAAATGATTTTGTCATAATAAAGCCCCACAGGACTTGCACACATCCAAAAAATATTAAATCATCATTAAGTTGATTCCTTCTGTTGTACATATCAAGAGAAAAAAATCCCAAAATTGAACTTTTTTATATGTATATGCTTTGACCTCCATGTATTTTGTTATTGAAACAAAACATTCTCTAGATGTCTATAAAAAAAAGGAAAATATATTTGTCTCATTTTTATAGCATAAACCACTGTTCTCTTGATCAAATGTATATTCTACCTCTCTAAATGTATCTCTGGTTGGAGAAAAGAATAAAAATCCCTTAAGTGAACGTTTTCAGAATCTGCACACAATTGGAGTGTAATTGAATGAGAAAATGAATGAACTCAAAACGAACAAAACTCTCATATTGAACCTTCTTATAATTTTTATATGAATTGCATGTTGTGGACTCTTTGACTTCCTTGTAATTTGGTATCGAAACGAAAACCTGTAAAAATTTAAATATCTGTGAATAATGATTATTCAGAAATCGTGAGATGCGATCTGGTGTGATGTAGGTTTCAAAAAAACATTTTCTTTATCGTGCCAACGTTTTGATCTTTATTGAGATCATCTTCAGGGCCTGGGATTTACAAACATTGTTTAAATTTAACAAATACATGTAGGNACTATGTATATATATATATATATTGCATTGTATAAATTCACTCTTTTCCACAACCTGCATGTATTTGCTCAATTAAATTTATTTAATTATTTAAACAATGTTTGTAAATCCCAGGCCCTGAAGATGATCTCATTAAAGATTGATACGTTGGCACAATAAAGAAAATTTTTTTCTGAAGCCTACATCACACCAGATCGCATCACACAATTTCTGAATAATCATCGACTAACGATATCTAATCACCACACATTTCAGTGAATAATGGAAAACACATGTTTGACTTCTTTTTTGGTTTAGTATAAACCTCTTTTATTCTTATCAAACATTGCATACTCTACCCATAAGTTGGGGAAAAAAACAAAAAGCCCTAAAGTAAACATTTTTAGAATCTACCCATCTGATTTATTTCTAGAAACTTTTAGAATCTACCTATTTTTGCTTCACTTTAACAAATATTACTTTTACTAGTTTTCTATCAACACAACTTGAATGTGGTTATCAGGTAGATGTCATCTAAACAGTTTTTTCTAAAGCATTTGATAGAATCGACCATAACCTGTTATCCTTTTTTAAGAGATAGTTCCTAGTCACAATAATCTTTCTACCCATGGTCCCAAAAGGCTGCTCGTTTCATTTGGCTCATAGACTGTATGTTAAAACTTCCATTAACACCTGCTAACTAAAAAAAAGAATTCCTCCAAATGATTAATTCTCTACACCGTAATATAAATTTTATTGGGTTGTCCGGAAAATAATGCAGGATTTTGGTATTAAACAAAAAAAAAGAAACTAGTTACTTTAAAGCAATGTTCTTTAATCAAAATAATTTCCCATACTCTCAATACATTTCTCCCAACGTGTTGGTAACTTATTAATTCCGTCTGAGTAGAATTCAGAATTTTTAGAATTGATAAAGTCAATAAATGCATTTTCCAGTTCCGTTTGATTTTTGAATATTATGTGTTGTAAGTAGTGGTCCAGGTGTCTAAAAAAATGGTAGTCAGTAGGCGAGAGGTCCGGAGAGTAGGGTGGGTGAGGCAAAGTTTCATAGCCAAGCTCCAATAATTTTTGTGACGTTACACGTGACACATGTGGTCGAGCGTTGTCATGCAACAAAATGGGCCCTTTCCGATTGACCAAAGAGGGCTTCATTACTGCCAATTTCTGATGCATGGTATTAATTTGGTTACAGTATGATTCAGCATTGATGGTTTCGCCAGGATTTAAGAAGCTGTAGTGTATTAAACCAAATGAAGCCCACCATACCGTAACCATTACCTTTTTTTGATGAGTTGGGGGCTTTGGAGCTTCTCCTTTGTCGAGCCACTGTCCAGAACGTCTAGTGTTATCGTAGAGAATCCACTTTTCGTCACATGTAACAATTCTGGCCAGAAATGGGTCATTTTTGTTTCGACAAAGAAGTGATGCACAAACATCAAAGCGCTGATTTTTTTGGCGATCGTTTAATGAGTGTGGAACCCAATTTTCGAGTTTTTTCACTTTTCCAATCGCCTTGAGGTGGTCAGCGACGGTCGTTTTACTGACTTTGAGTTGCTCTGCAAGTTCTCGAACAGTTGTTTTGGGGTTTTCTTCCACCACTGATCGCAGAACATCATCATTAAGAGAGGAAGGCCTTCCACGACCTTCTTCATCTTCAAGGCTGAAATCTCCCTCCCGAAATTTTTTAAACCACCTTTGCACAGTGCACTCATTAACACAACCCTCGCCCCAGACTTGGTTAATGTTTCTAGCCGTTTGGGCTCCGCTTCGGCCGAGTTTAAACTCGTAAAAGAAAATCGTACGAAATTCTCGCTTTGACATTATAAGGATGACTGAATTATTTCCAAGTAGCGGAATGCTACAGAGGTAAACAAACAATATCATTTGGAAGAGGATTAATAAGTGTTGACATTCATACAAATGAGTAATCCTGTAAACGTAAACAGAATATTTTATATAGATTTTTTTTAATGAAAACTTAAAATCCTGCATTATTTTCCGGACAACCCAATACATTGGAAATTAACAAAGATGGTTGTTTGAACTTTTTAGACCTAAAAATGCCCATAATAAACAACCTAATAGAAATAGACGTAGAATTTGAACAGTAACAAAAGAAATTTACTTCCTCTATAGACAGGTAGACTTTCTCCTGACAGAATGATGACAATCAGCCAATAACTTTCCAAATCTTAAAATTTTTTAATTCTATTTTTTTTCATTATTCTTCAGTCGTGTGCAGACATGTTAAATCTTGAATTATTATGTATATTTTAAGATATTCATTATTTCTATAAAAATAAAATATTTTTCATATAAATTATTTAACTTGCACTTCTGTACCTGTTCACATATTTAATCAACATATTTGTATGTATTTTTTTAATATTAATTACATAATTTTTTTTTTTGGGGGGGGGNCTAAAAACAGTAGAATAGAACTCCTTTGACATTCCTTCTGGGCTATCGCTTTCCAAAAACCATGGCTTTTTCTTGAGCTCAAGGAACAGTGACCTGTAATAATTGCCAACTTTTTTCCAAAAAGTTTTTCCCGTCATGTTTAGGAATTTTAATGTCAAGGGTTGGACCAGATGTTGCAGCCTCCTTTGTAAGTGCGTCCTCCGTTTCATTTTGCCATAAGCCTGCATGCCCTTTCACCCAACACAATGCCACCCTTATTCCCATGATTTTTGTCTCAAGCATTTTCCTACAGATTTCCTACATAATATTTAAAATATGTTATATTATTTTACAATGACAATTTAAAATAAATGTGATCTTTTTTAAAAGTATATTTATATGAAACATTGTTTTAAGCTATTTTCTTACTTTACATATTGTTTAATACTTAAGTAATTTTTTCTTTGTTTTCTTATTTTTGCTTTCACATTGTATATTACTATATTTAAACATTTTTTTGTAAATTGGATTTATTCCATAAAATATGTTATTATATTATTATATCTACCCATGGTTGGAATGTAATTTCTCGCCATGAGAGAGCAAAATGAACAAAAATCCTCAAATTGAATCTTCTTATAACTTTTATATGATTTGCACTTTATGTACTCTTTGACTTCCTTGTATTTTGATGTTGAAACGAAAGTCTGTAAAAACTTATATACTGTGAATAATAGAAAATACATGTTTGTCTTCTATTGTTTAGTATAAACCACTTTTCTCTTGATCAAAGTATGTATACTCTACTCGTGGTTGAGGAAAATAACGAAGCCATAAAGTGAACTCTTTTAGAATGTAGCCATCTAGACGTGGTTGGAATATAATTTCACATCATGAGAGGACAAAAACCATCACATTGAATGTTCTTATAACTTTCATATGATTTGCACTTTATGTACTCTTTGACTTTCTTGTATTTTGATGTTGAAACGAAAGTGTAAAAATGTAAATATCTGTGAATAATGGAAAATACGTTTCATACACTCAACACGTGGTTGGAGAAAAGAACAAAGCCCCAAAGAGAACCATTTTAGAATCTACCCATGTACAAGTGGTTGGAATGTAATTTCACAAACAAAAGGAACAAAAACCCTCAAACTGAATCTTTTTATAATTTTTATACGAATTGCAGGTTGTGAACTCTTTCACTTCCTTGTATTTTGGTATCGAAACAAAATCCTGTAAAAACTTATCTGTGAATAATGGGAAATACATGTTTGCCTTCTTCTTTTTAGTACAAACAACTTTTCTTTATCTATTTTACACGTGGTCGTAAGATTAATTCGTCTCAGAATCATATCCCCTTGAATTTTGACGGGAATTTTTTTTTTATTGTTAGGATTAGGACGTAGTTTCACACTCCCACCGTACGAGAACGTTCTAGACCTTTTGCCATAATTCGTATGCTGACTAGACATTATATCTTTCTATTCTAAAATACAAAATCGATAAGGGATTTTTTTATTATTTTTTTAATGTAATATTTTTTTTAATGTGTTTGAAAGAGGGCAAGTAGTTCCAATGGATTTTTTTTTGTTCAGTATGACAAAATATTTACACGTTTGTCCCATATGTTTTTATAGTGGATCGAAAAGGGTAAAAATCGTTGGAAAGGAAAAACGCGAACCGGTGAGAAAAGTTAAACGATTACGGGATAATTAAAGAGAAAAAAGTTGGTCTTTCGATCAAAAGAGCTGTGAATCGATTTGCTGCCTCGTCCAATCCGTTGGCCGCTTCCGTTCAACCGTCGACGCGATTGGTCAAAAGTTCTAGAACGTTCTAGAAGCGCATCGACCCTACCCAGCTCGAGCCCTAATCGCCGGATATCGTCCTCATTTTCACGTCAGACGCCCGAGCGATCGTTGCGGCAAACCAAGACCACATTCTACCAATAGGAAAACACTTTTAATTTATTTAAACAAGGTACGATTTATTTAAACTATTGTAGATTTCTTTATTTGTTACTTTATTCTTTTAATTTTATTAAATAGAATCTTGAGAGAGGTTTTTTGAATTGTTAATTTTTCACCTCGCCATGTGCTTTTCGTAAGATTTTGTTTCCTGACGCCATTTGTTTTTAATTTTCAATTTTTTTCTGAAATTTAGTCGTCTTTGTTATTTAAACATTTTGAGAGTATTGTTAATTAGTAAAATAAAACAATTTATAATATTCCAAGCACTTGAGCAAGTCAAGGTCGAGATAAATTCGCGCTGACGTAATCCGTTCAATAGTTTCGTTTTATTTTTTTTCACTGAAAGGATATTTTTTTACAGATAAAATGGCCAAAGTTCCAGCAGTCGGAATCGATCTCGGCACGACCTACTCCTGCGTCGGTGTATTCCAGCATGGAAAGGCCGAGATCATCGCCAACGACCAGGGTAACAGGACGACACCCAGCTATGTCGCCTTTACAGACACGGAACGTCTGATCGGCGACGCCGCCAAGAACCAGGTCGCGATGAACCCAAACAACACAATTTTCGGTAATTTTTTTGTTGAAAAAAAATTAAATTTTACAGCACGCCACGTGCACGTGCAACCCTCACCTATGGCGTTGCTGGCCTCGGCCGGTGATTCAACTTTTTCTCTCGGCCTAAGTTGCACAACGACTTGTTTTCCTTCATTTTCCCCTGCCCAAGTTGCACAACCTTGGGTATTCCTTTTGTGTATAATTTATACAGATTTTTTATTTTAGAAGACCAACGTGTTTTTTTTGCGCCCTACCCCACCTGTAATTATTAGGGACTACTTCTCAATTGCCGCCAAATTTTTGTGTTCACAATTTCTTTTCGACCTGACTTTACAGTATAGTTTTTGTTCTCTTTATTTCCGTTGGCATAAAACAAAAAATTAAACACGTTAAATTAAAAAATTAAAAACACGTTAAATTTAAGATTTTACCATTTTAGGGTTCCTTCTTCCTCATCCTTTACTTTGTTGGTGTTAAAATTTCTCTTTCATTATGTTTCATTTTAAATATTTAAATTCGAGCCTTTTATATATTAAAACAAGTCCGATCTTATATAGCTTTATGTGATGAATCCTGTTTAAATTATTTAAAAAAAAATGCTTTTGCGCATTTCACAATCCACTCTTTTAAATTTTAAGCTTGTTTAAAGCTTAAATTTCGTCATTTTTTCTTCTTTTTTTTCATATATTTTAGGTTCCTTTTTTGTTGTTTTCTTTTTATATTATATCCCGGGTTCATTTTAACATCTCACTTTTGGATATCTTTTTTTATTCTTTATTATTATTTTTATGGCAAACAACCACTAGAGTTAAAGCTGCCTAAATCGCATTATTTATGCCTCAAATTATTTACACACAAAAAAAAATTATAAACAAATTCCATCTTGCGAAGCTTTACAGGATGAACTCCCTTTAAAATTTTATTTTTTAATTTAATTTAATTTATGTATTTTTTAATGCTTTTACACATTGCACTTATTAAATTTTTAATACTTACAGAATGCATTTGGTAATTTTTTCTCTTTATTTTAGATTTGGTTCCTTTGTTGGTTTTTCTTTTTTATGTTATATCGAGGTTTCTTTTTAACATATTCATTTTTTTATTTATTTATTTTTTATCGAAAGAACCACTATGGTTAAAGCTGCCCATGCCATGTTAAAAGTATTCAATCATCAAATATTTACTTTAAAACATTAAATTAAATTTACCAATCATTTTTATTTATAACAGTATTTAATTTCAAACAGTTAAATCCAAGCTTAAATTTTTATACATTATACAAGTTCCATGTTGTGCAGCTTTACACAGGATGAATCTTGTTTTGATGCTTTTAAACACATTACACAATGCCGTAAGTTTTTATTAACTACAGAGTGAATTAAGTCATTTTTCTCTTTATTTTTTATATATTTTCTTTTTAGGGTCCACCCCCTATCAATCACTAGTGTTAAAGCTGCCTAAATCATGTTAAATTATTTCTTATCTAATTATTTACATTGAATTTTTTATTTATTTTACAATATTTGATTTTAAATTGTTAAATCCAACTGTAAATAGTTATACGTTTAACAGTTACATGTTTTGTAGATTTACAGGATGAAATGTTTTATTTATTTTTTTGAAAAAAGCTTTTGCACATCCCACTCACCTCTGTTCACTATAACCAACAGGATGAATTTGAACATCTTTTGACTTTTTTAATTCTTTGACTTTTATCATAATTGATAGATTACTAGTCATTTGCTGGCAAAGTTTGTCAATTGCCTTTTTGTCTTAATTAAACATTGTTATATATTTATTTAACATTTAAAATAAATGTTTTTGTTCTCTGTATTATAATACACAGTGCCACACGACACGCAAGAATGGCACAATTACACAGAAGACAAACACTTTAAACCCTGAAGATGATCTCAATAAAGATCGAAACGTTTGCACGATAAAGAAAATAATTTTCTGAAACCTACATCACACCAGACCGCATCTCACAATTTCTGAATAATTATCGATTAACGGTCACTAACCACCACACATTATTAACCACTTGAAATATTATTATTATTATTATTATTAATTTTTAAGGGCGTTTTAACGGCTAAGGTCATTTCACGCCCTAACATCCAAACCTTCTATCTTAGGTTAGCTATATCTCTTCTGAGTGCTATAAAGCTCTGACTCCAAATATTCACTCGTAATCTAATTTATCCTATTGCCATCCAAACTTTAATTTTTCTTTTCAAAATTCTTAATTCGGAAGGCCAAATGTATACAAAATTCCCATTTTAAATTGCATAAAATTTAATAAAATTATAAAATTTATTTCTGTTTTTTTAAAAAATTAGAATTGTGAATTTTTGTTCCATAATTTAAAAATTCCCCGTAGGCTTGTATGGCTAATAATAATAATGCGACTCCATTATTATTATTATTAGTATTAGTACTAGTCTTAGCAACAGTCTCAGCATGAGTATTGGCTCATCCTTATCCTTTTATTCTTCCATTCAAATATGATACATAAACTAATTTTACATAACAATAATAAGAAACAAAACACAATAACATTTCTTTATCTTTATCTTCTTTTTTTTTGGAGGGAGCTATTTTTCTTATTTAAATTGCGATTTTGGGCATTGCAGTTTATTCCCCCGCAATTTGTATTTTCTTCCATTTCATTTTTCCGCTCCGGCAACCTCAAAAACCTCTGAAAAAAAGAAATCTTGCACGCACAACTTTTATTCAAACATTAGCAGGCATTCAATGATNCTATTATTATTATTAATTTTTAAGGGCGTTTTAACGGCTAAGATTTATTATTATTATTATTATTATTATTATTATTATTATTATTACACAATGTTTGATTTGAAGAGGAGCCGTTAAAAAAAGAAAAAAAATCAGTTTTCTTAGGCCTATAAATTTTTTCTTGACCGTTAATAGTGTTATTTTGATAATCAGCTGCGACTGATAACTTTTATCAATCGGGGACTGGTTGCAATGACAATTAAAATTAATTTGCGTTCACCAAAAAGATAACATTCATTTAGCTGCTGCACACAAGACATTCATTTTTTCTGTTGCATTTTTGTGATATTAGTTGGCAGTAAAGTATGACACATCTCAGGTTAGACAACTCATTTATTTTCACTGTGATAAACCTTAATTTGATAAGATAAAAACAATTGTGTAATGCTGAGTAACTTTTTACTTGATAAATTCACTTTTTTTTTTTTTTTTTTTTTAATATTTTTTTTAAGTACGTGCTTTAACTAGGGACAAAGTTTCTTTAGGAATTATTACTTATGGATAATTTATTTTTGAATTTTAAAAAATTCAAAACTATGAATAGTTTATTTTTGAATCTTAAAATATTCACATCTTACGAGTTATGACAACTTCAATTCCATTTTTAATTTTTTTTTAAATAAAGATAAATTGTTAAAAATTGAATTAATTTTTCAGATGCCAAAAGGTTGATTGGGAGAAGATTTGAAGATGTCACCGTCCAGTCTGACATGAAACATTGGCCATTTGAAGTCGTGAGTGACGGCGGAAAACCGAAGATCCAAGTCCAGTACAAAGGAGAGAATAAGACTTTCTTCCCCGAGGAAGTAAGTATCGTTGCCTCAATAATTTTATATTTTATTGCAATGGTTTATTACAAATTCAGTGCTTTCTCAATCAGGAAAGTATTATTGGCCAGTTGCAAAATTAAATGCTCGCTCATAGTGCCTTGTGATCATCTTTGGTCACTTAGGTCTCCTAGTAGAGCTACAGCTCATTTCTTAATGGTTTCAAATATAATTAGAGTAGTGAAAAGTTTATAGAAGTTGGTATCCCTCAGCCGTCCATATATAGTCAGGGTTCGTGTGAGGTCAGATGTGACCATATTTAGCTTGTTGGACGACCTTTGTTATATCTTGATCAAATTCTTCCTGATTTTCTTCCTCATTTCATCATTTGTTTTCCTGCTTGTCTAACTTCACCTTGGCAGTGAAGTTTGTTTACTACACCACTGGAGTATGACATAAAATTCAGTTCCTGATGACATGTTGCAATTTAAAATTCAGTTCCTGGTGACATGTTGCAATTTAATTTTATTATGTAATTTATTTTAATTAGGGAATTTGTTCTGTAATGAAATGAAATAAATTAAGTTATAACTTAAACTTTATACTACTACGTACTATTTACTGGCAATGAAGATATACCTATTGACCTTAGGACACCGCTGAAATATTTACGGTGATGAAAACTTTGAAATAATTCTGAGCCAATGTGTCTTAAATTTCAAAAATTTAGATAATAGAAACTAAATTTTTTTTTTTTGGGTGCATTGACGGAGTGGTTAGGTAGGTAGTAGTGTCATGCTATCTGCACCCTGATAATAAAGCAAAAAAAAAACAATGATTTGACTCATAGTTAATGTTAAGCCACCCTGTATGACAGGAATTGTACTTTAATGAATAATAAATAAATTAATTAAAATTAATATAATTAATGTAAATAATAAATTAAGTTGTACCTTAAACTTAGTACTGGTAAACTTAGTATTATTTATTGGCAATGAAGATATACCTGTTAACCTTAGGACACTGCTGAAATATTTACGGTGATTGAAACCTGGAAATAATTCAGAGCCAATGTGTCTCAATTATTAAAAAGTTAGGAGAAATTAAATCTTGGGGGACTGCATTGGCCGGTGGTTGGGCGTAGTAAGAGTTCAAATTGTGGGTTATCCTGAGTGTATTTTTCGTTGAAATTAATACGTAAAAATTATGGTAAGTGGTTTGATTTATTCTTATACATTAAACCTCTGTATGACAGGAATTGTACTTTAATGAAATAAATTAAATTGTACCTTAAACTTAGTACTATTTATTGGCAATGAAGATATACCTGTTGACCTTAGGACACCGCTGAAATATTACGGTGATGGAAACTTAAATAATTCAGAGCCAATATGTCTTAAATTTAAAAGTGTAAAAAGTAGAAACTAAGGAAAAAAGTATTTACCACACTAGTGGCTCTGGGTTAAAATCCTGGTATGGTTCACCTTTTTAATTGAAAATATGAAAAAAAGTGCAAATTGATTTGACAGACCATTGTCGTTAAGGGACATGACGGGAATTATTTTTACTTTAATAAACTATGAAATAAATTAAGTTGTAACTTTAAACTTAGTATTAATTGGCAGTGAAGATATACCTGTTGACCTTAGGACACCGCTGAAATATTACGGTGATGAAAACTGAAACAATTCTGAGCCAATTAAATTAAATTCCTATTGTCTAAATAAAATGAATAATTGCTTATATATATATTATATTGTTTCTGTTTTTAATAGATTAGTTCCATGGTCCTCACCAAAATGAAGGAAACTGCTGAAGCCTACCTTGGAAAAACGGTCACCAACGCCGTAGTTACAGTCCCTGCCTACTTCAACGATTCTCAGAGGCAAGCTACCAAAGATGCTGGAACCATTTCTGGCCTTAACGTCCTTCGTATTATTAATGAACCGACTGCTGCAGCCATCGCTTATGGGCTCGACAAGAAGGTAACGGTAATGAGAAGTATACCTTTTTTAATTGATGTACGCTTAACTCATGGTGATGGTGTCTGCATGCCTCCTTTGATTCCAAAATGCTGATTTATACGTAACGTACTTACAAGTGTTCTTAATTTTTAAATATTATTTTTGCTCATTTCCATTTCTATTAGGGAGCCGGAGAGAGGAACGTCCTTATTTTCGATCTCGGAGGTGGTACTTTCGACGTGTCCATTTTGACGATTGAAGATGGTATTTTCGAAGTCAAGTCCACAGCTGGAGACACTCATTTGGGAGGTGAAGATTTCGACAACAGGATGGTTAATCACTTTGCTCAGGAATTCAAGCGTAAATACAAAAAAGATCTTACTCAGAACAAGAGGGCTCTCAGGAGATTGAGAACTGCCTGTGAAAGGGCAAAGAGAACTCTTTCTTCCTCGACCCAGGCCAGTATCGAAATCGATTCCCTCTATGAAGGTATGGACTTCTACACATCGATCACAAGAGCCAGGTTTGAAGAGCTGAACGCCGATCTGTTCAGAAGCACGATGGAACCTGTAGAAAAATCACTCAGGGATGCTAAAATGGACAAAGCCCAAATCCACGACATTGTGCTCGTCGGAGGTTCCACCCGTATTCCAAAAGTACAGAAACTCCTGCAAGATTTCTTCAATGGCAAGGAACTAAACAAATCCATCAACCCTGATGAAGCAGTAGCGTATGGTGCTGCTGTCCAGGCTGCCATCTTGCAGGGTGATAAATCTGAAGAAGTACAAGATCTCCTCTTGCTCGATGTCACACCTCTGTCTCTCGGTATCGAAACAGCTGGAGGAGTGATGACTGCTCTGATCAAGAGGAACACCACCATTCCTACCAAACAAACTCAGACATTCACCACATACTCTGACAACCAGCCTGGAGTATTGATTCAAGTTTACGAAGGGGAGCGTGCTATGACAAAAGACAACAATTTACTCGGAAAGTTTGAACTCACTGGCATTCCACCGGCACCTCGTGGCGTCCCACAAATCGAAGTGACATTTGACATCGATGCCAACGGTATCCTTAACGTCACCGCCATTGAAAAATCTACTGGCAAAGAGAACAAGATTACCATCACCAACGACAAAGGACGATTGAGTAAGGAGGAAATCGAAAGGATGGTCAACGACGCTGAAAGATATAAGGCAGAAGATGAAAAACAGAAGGCCGTCATTTCTGCCAAGAACGCCCTCGAATCTTACTGCTTCTACATGAAGAGCACTGTGGAAGATGAGAAACTCAAGGATAAAATCTCCGAAGCCGACAAGACCACTATTTTGGAAAAATGCAACGAGGTCATTCAATGGCTCGACGCCAACCAACTCGCTGAAAAAGAAGAGTTTGAACACAAGCAGAAGGAATTGGAACAGCTCTGCACTCCGATTGTCAACAAATTGTACCAGAGCGGTGGAGCTCCACCACCAGGTGCTGCTGGCGGATTCCCAGGAGGTTTCTTCCCAGGTGGTCCTGGTGGGGCTCCTGGTGCCGGCGGTGCTGCTGGCTCAGGCCCAACCATCGAAGAAGTCGATTAATCTGGCAGTTCCAAATTCCTTAAACTACAATTTTGCCATGACCTAACTTGCTGAATCAGTATTTTTTCCTATTGTTATCATCTTTCATTTTGTAAACTTAAACAGTAACTATTATTTTCAAATAATAGAATTTTGAACCAAATGTTTTACTTTCTGGCATCTAAATTACAATCTAAATTTTTCGTTCATTTTTTATATTTCTTTTTTTTTTCTTTTATGAAAAAAAAACCTACCTTGCCCTAGTTAATTTTCCTTGTTTACATTCCGTTTGTTTCCTTTGTATATAATTAAAAGTCAGTGAGATCTAGTCTAGAAACACATTTTAGTCTTTCAGAGCGTAATATAATCAATAGCGATTGCTTGTGATGGGAATTCATGATCATGTACAATCTTTTTATAATAACCCTCTGTGAATAAGATATTAAAATATGTCTTATTTGCACAGTCTTTTATTAATTCCAAACTCTGACCTCTGCTTTTTTTTTAACAATTTCAAATGGGATAAAAGTTGAACTGTGGTCTAACTTGAAACTATTATTAACATTATTAAATAATTTGACTAATGTTTTTTTTATCATATTGACTGAGCATTTTGCCTTAATTTTTTATCCTTTCAGTACAAAAAGTAAATATTAAAAATAAAATTGAAAACGGTTCATAATTCAAGCCTTATTAGTCTGAACCTAAGTAGGAACGAGAGCTGTGTTAGGATTAGAGAAAATGCATTTTTAGTCAAAAATATAGAATATAACAATGTAGATACAAGCAGTAAAACTAGTCTGGTTTGTAACAGAATGTATGTAAAAACTTGATCAGGAGGTACAAAAAGATCAAATTTGAAAATAGCTAGAAATGATTAAAAAAGTGTTCAAAACGAGAGCAATAGGTCTGATCATTTAGATCATTTTAATCATTTTTTTTTCTTATTGGTTTCAATTTTACTTGGTGTGAACGTATTATCAATTTGTTTCTTTTATGAAATGCAGTTTTTCAATAAAAATTCTAAAGCCCAAACTTTGTCAGAGGACCCTTCGCATTTAAAATTATATACTTGTAGTATATGTAGTACATAGTTTTTATAGCCAGTCCATTCCGAGCTCAGAGGGATATCCCTGAAATAAACAGATTGACATACTTTACAAAATCCAGAACAAAAATCAAATTGGACAAAATGGAATCTATGTAAAACCCCAGTTAATTAAAAAAGTAATAATTTGAAGATTAATGATTAATGAATTATTGGGAAGAGTGAGGCTGTTTTTTTAGCCTGCCCGTTTGGATACATTGGAATTAATTTTTGATAGCTGGAGACGGATGCCATGTTTGGTATTTAGACGGCTGTACAGACTACAGGACAGAAAATCCTTTTTTGGATAGGAAGTTGAGGCAAACTGGAGAACAGTTGGCTTTTTCAACGAATGTTGAAATTTGTTTTCCAGACTGAGTAAAAAAATAGGGCATTGGGCTGGAATCTACTTTATTTTCAAGATGGATTCTGAATTAATGTCCATTAAAATTAGTATTTAGTTGAAGATTAGTTTGTTGAAACAGAAAACGGTTTGTCCACCCATTCATGGTCTTGCATCATTGTATCTCGAGCTGTTCGAGTATTTAAGTAAGTAGTGCAAAACGGACATCTCCCAACTTTGAAACATATTTCACATATTTCATCAATCAACATGTTCCGTTCGCAAGCTCCCCCTTTTGTTTTCTTTGTAAAATTCATAAAACAAATAACGAAAACACCACGTTTGGCCTTCTCAACAGATTCAACCCAAAACTTGTGGGTCCTTTAAGGAATGAGTATATTCCGTTTTTTTAGGTTTGATTAACCCACTTGAGGCCGGTGACTGCCTCAAAATCAAAGGAATTTTGATTTGAAATAAATTATGAACACAATTGCAGAGGGACACCTCTATTTTGTTTCTTTTAAAACAAAAATGTATTTCCTTATGAATCAAGACACGTTATATAAAAAATATAAAACAACAAAACATGAACCTTTGCTTACAAACTAACAATATAAGAATAATTAGATACTATGGGAATAATATGGGCCTGAAGGGCAAAATTAAAATAATCAACCTTGATAACCAAAATGGAAAATACCAAACAATAAACTATAAATGAAAATGGACCACACAACAAATAATTTATACTAATAAAAATCAAAGTGGACACAAATCCGATTAGACTGGCTTTCATCTGGATTTTTTCTTATTGTTTTTCTTCCAATGCCTAGGCTAGACTGAACTATCCGTTCTCGCTTTCCTGCCTCCAGCTTCGAGGGGAGAGCCTGGACATAATTTGTTGTTATAAACTAAAAATTTTAAAGGCATGAACTTTGTCATATGCATCGAAAAATGTTTCTCCCCTTGCAAAGAAAGATAGTTTTATATAAATATTTGGCTGATTATTGCCACTTTTCATCATTGAAACTGTTGGCCAATTTGAAATTGTAGTCCAATAAACAGAGAAAGACTAATCGTGAAAGTGCTTTCGCACGAGAAAGCCACCTGACTGGTGGGAAGCTGGGAATGATGAAGGCTTCCCATATCGACACATGAGAAAAGTCTTGACTTCAATGGCCACAACTTGATATAATTATTAATTTAAACTGGCCCATCCAAAACTTTCTTAAAAGAAGCTGGCATTTCTTTCATAGCCAAAACGTCTGGAGAAAACAAAATAACTGCCGATGCAGAATAACTCGTTTTCAGTACGCATTGTTATTAGTTTTTAATTTTATTTATTCATTCTCCGTTTATTATTACAATTATTACTGGAAGTTCGTCACGGAGACTGGTTATCCAAACAACAAAACAATAAATGCCACCCACTTGTACTATTTATTACAGTTTTTAGTGATAGTTTTTGCTTTTTACAACTTGTATTCAAGAATTATATTATAATGTAAAATAAATTAATTATATTAATAGCTCCCAAATGGGAAAAAAGACAAAATTTTTAAAACGGTAAATTTTGATATAATGTATAAGCAAGAATTGAAAACGTTTTACAGTACAAATATTATGGTCGTATTTTCTTTTCAAATGTTTCAAAACAAGTTTTTTGCATTAAATTAACTATTTTTAATTTCAACTTATCCTTTTTTTTACATTCGAATTAAATTTTTTTACCTTCACTTAGACCCTTTTTAATTTCAAATTATTCCTTCATTCATCAAATGAACTCGTTCTATTGGGTTGTCCGGAAAATAATGCAGGATTTTGGTATTAAACAAAAAAAAAGAAACTAGTTACTTTAAAGCAATGTTCTTTAATCAAAATAATTTCNAAATGTATTGAGAGTATGGGAAATTATTTTGATTAAAGAACATTGCTTTAAAGTAACTAGTTTCTTTTTTTTTGTTTAATACCAAAATCCTGCATTATTTTCCGGACGACCCAATAATTTGACTCTTAGAAAAACATTTGAAAATTAATTACAATTAAAATTTAAAATGAAATAAAAACAAATAATTGTAAAAAAAATTATCACATTTTTCAAATTAAAAGAATAATCCTTGTTTTATTTTTTATTAATTTAATTTTTAATTTTAATTCTAATTCATTTTTATATGGTCTTCTAAGCACCCAATTATTTTTTTAAATATTTTGTGTTCAAATGCAGGAATTTTATTTTAAAATATTCACATTAAAAGAAGAATTATTACTTCATTTTATATTCAATTTTAGATAAATTTTACTTTCAACTGCCATTAATTTTCATACGGTCTTTAAGTCATTTTTTTACATTATAAAAATCATATTAAGAGAAGGATCACTTTGTTTCTGGCGATGTATTCACCAGACGGAAGTGTGTAAAAAAATGCCTTAGCATTCTTTCTCGAGGAAAACCTTCAAGTTTGTTTTGTATTTATTTATTTGGTCATTTTTTCTCATTAGACATTACAATTGGTACATGTTGTCTGTTTACAGTAGTAATAATTAATTAACCTAACATTTGATGGCGCAATCCACCGATAATCCTACCTTAAAAATTTTACTTGTCAGTGTGAAATTTAAAGTAAATAATTTTAAAATCTGTGTCGGTAGTGTTGGTTTTTGTTCAAATTTAGTTCTGAGCCGAGTAGAATTGATAAATAATTTCTGACATGGTAGAATCATCTTGAGTCCAACAATAATTTTCTTTTGATCGTCGACCCGAGGTCTGTCGGATTATTGAACCGTTATTGAACTCTGAATGCTCTTGAATTCATATCGAAACTAGTTTTTAAGGTAAATCTCTTTTTTGCGAATGATTTAAAACTGCGATAGGCTTTTGGATAATTAACAAAAAAATTAACGTTCCGAACGAGGCGATTGTTAAAAAAACAAGGAGAGAGGCTCTTCGCCTTGAGATTTAATAGAGAACAAAGACCGTTGCACGGCCTGTCATATTTCGACCGTGGTCAGGTGAGATAAAGCGAGGCTAGACGGACCCTGTATGACCAGTGATGAATAAGCCGAGGACAAACGTTCGCCTATTCAGGTCGTAAAAGTCTCACAAAATGGTGTAGTTACGGTATAATTGGGAATGACTGCCTAGATTCTTGGAATCGTTAAACCACTTAATTCCCAAGGTCTTCCTACTTTCAGCGAGAAATTTATACTAAGTCTAATCATCGCTCACGAACATTAGTCGAAAAAAAAAAGTTGTGTTTAAATTATCAATAAAAATATTTAAATCAGATCTACTGATGTAATTCTAGAGAAATAAAAAAAAACTTGTTGGGTCATCAATCATGAAATATGTTTGAGAGTTTTCTGTCATTTACACAACTACATGAAATGTTCTTTCCGTGACAAAGAGTTAATAAACTTTTACGGCCTCATTAATTAGCTGGTGCTATTGTTCCACGTTTAGCACTCGTTAAACGCAGTACGTACACTGTGTTGGAATTACTTTTTAACTTATAATTTCCGTTTACGAATAGTTTCGGTTATAACCCTGGAAAAAACAAATATGTCGTTAGGTAAGTCGAAAAAATTTCAGATTGGGAGAATATTCGTTCCCAATTAGACTGCGAATAGCCAATTTTGCGAGACCTTATGGGCCGGAATTGTTGAACGATTGCCCTCGTCTTATTTATTCCAGTACAGGGTCCGCCAAGTCTCTTATTTTCCCAGTTAGTAAACGGGAGACGAAATATGTTTGATAAGCCGTGTCAACGTTCTAGTCTTTCAGGTTTAACATAACCGTAGCGCCGCGATTATTTAGCGTTTTTCTGTCAAATTATCCCTTTTTAATTTCAAATTAACTCATTAACTCAAATTAACTTTAATTTCAAATGAACCATTTTCATTATTAATTAACCCTTTCATAAAGCATTAAAAAAAACAGGAAAAAGTATTTTTTAAAAAAATATAAAATAATTGAGCTCTTAGTTCATATGAAAATTAATCTGTTAAAATAAAAATGAAATAACATGAAATATAAAAGCAAAATGAATCCACTTTTAATTTATTTTGTGGTTTTTGTAAAAATTAAATTTGTGGTGATTAGTGACCGTTAATTGATAATTATTCAGAAATCGTGAGATGCGGTCTGGTGTGATGTAGGTTTCAGAAAAACATTTTTTTTTATCGTGCCAACGTTTCGATCTTTATTGAGATCATCTTCAGGATCCTGTAAATCTCAGGCCCTGAAGATGATCTCAATAAAGATCGAAACGTTGGCCCGAAAAAGAAAATGTTTTTCTGAAACCTACATCACACCAGACCGCATCTCACGATTTTTGAATAAGTAAAAATTAAATTTATTACTTATTTAAACATTTTTTTAAAGAGGGTATGAATTTATTTAAACCCTCGGAGTAGAATGTCGTGGGTTCGAACCCAAGACCTTTACCTTGATGAGTAGTACTACTAGTACCTTGCCACTTCTAAACCATTGCGGCCCCCACTCCAAATTTACATTTATTCGGTCGTTTCGGGAATTTAGACCCATCATCAGAATCTACGTTTATAAAAGACGTAAGTATAACATGGAATTTGTTTCTTTTATACATTTTTTTAAACAAAACTAAAAAAATTAAAAAAGACAAATAAGTCTCAAAATTTTCCGTTATAAAATATCCCTTTAAGAATTAATTTTTTTCTTAAAACTGGGCCCTTAGAAGACCAAATGAAAATGAATGACAGTTAACATTAAAAATTAAATCTAAAAACAAAACCATTCTTCTTTTAATGAGTATTTTAAAGTAAAATTACTGCAATTTGAAGAAAAAAAAATTGGGCTCTTAGAAGTCCATATTAAATACTGTTAAAATAAAGAAATGCATAAAATTAAATATAAAAGCCTGATGATTCTTTTCTTAAAATGAATTTATTTTGTCACTTAAAAAATTCGGCTCTTAGAAGACCAAATGAAAAATTAATGATAATTAAAATTAAAAATTAAATCTAAACAAAATAATGAATCTTCTTTTAGTGAGGATTTTAAAGTAAAATTCCTGCAATTTGAAAAAAATAAAATAATTGGGCTCTTAAGAGTTAATATTAAAATTAAATACGGTTAAAATAAAAAAATATAAAAGGAAATATAAAAGCATGATGATTATTTTCTTAATATGAATTTATTTTGTAACTTAAATCATTGGGCTCTTAAAAGACCAAATGAAAATTAATGACAGTTAAAATTAAAAATTATATAAATTAAATCTAAAAACAAAATAATCATTCTTCTTTTAATTGGGATTTTAAAGTAAAATTACTGCAATTTGAAAAAAAATTGAGCTCTTAGAAGTCCATATTAAATACTATTAAAATAAAGAAATTTATAAAATTAAATATAAAAGCATGATTCTTTTCTTAAAATGAATTTATTTTGTCACTTAAAAAATTCGGCTCTTAGAAGACCAAATGAAAAATAAATGACAATTAAAATTAAAAATTAAATCTAAAACAAAATAATGATTCTTTTCTTAATATGAATTTATTTTGTAACTTAAATCATTGGGCTCTTAGAAGTCCAAATGACATCTTTAAAATAAAATTCTTGCATTTGAAAAAATAATTAAACATAAAATAATTGGGCTCTTAGAAACCAAATGAAAATTAATTAATTATGAGAAACTAAATATTAAAATGTGGTGTGACGGATACCTGGCCGGCAAAGAAATGAAAATATTAAAACAAATTCGTCTTTTAATTTGAGATTTTTTTTTATTAGCCAAGCTTCAAATATACCATATGTATGTTAATTTTTTGGGAAGGGGTGGTTCAAAAATTTCAGATTTGTTATTACAGATTGTTTGAGATGTTTTATAAAAGGTATATGGTCATGACCCGGAGACTTGTTCATTTCGATTGCTTTTAGTATTTCCCAACTGTTTTAGTTCATTGAAAATTGTCGTTTTAAAAATATTCAAATTATTGTATGTTTTCTAAAATTTGTATGGTTTGTGATGCTTAATTGTATCAGCTGACTAACGCAAAAACAATTTTTTTTGTTTTATCGGGACAGTCAAGTGAATAGCATTATTTTATTGAAAGGAGGAAATGTATACGTCGTGTTATTTGGTTTGGATCATTTCTCTTCTTCCGTTTGGCATCGGTTTCCAGTACATAACGTGCGGTAGCGTTTTGAAGTTGATTAACGGGAAATACGGGGTGCGGCTTCATTCTCACGAAGTCGCCTACGCCTCCGGAAGCCAGATGCAGTCAGTGACCGGCGTAGAGCACATCGAGGACGGCAATTCCATCTGGGTGGTGAAGAACAGGACCGGCGAGTTGTGCCCCAGGGGGCGGCCACTGTCCTGCGGGGACGTCATCCGGCTGGAGCATTTGGCGACGGGGCGGAACCTCCACTCGCACCGTTTCTCTTCTCCTCTTTCCGGTTCGAACCAAGAGATAGCTGCCTTCGGGACTGCCGGCGAAGGCGACTCGGGTGATAACTGGCTGCTCGAGTGCGACTCGGGGGCGTGGTATCCCGACACGACTGTCAGACTTTTCCACGTGGACACTTCAGTTTACTTGGGAGTCAGCGGACAGCAGTACGGACACCCGATCGACGGACAGATGGAAGTGGTCGGCTGCTCCAGGGCCGACTCTTCCACCGAATGGACTTCAGCCGAAGGGGTTTTCTTTCACCATACGAGCGAGCTGCGTTTCAATCCGTCATTCTCCGCAAAGAAGCCTCATTTTCACAATGAACTATAATTTACGCCAATGTTTATAGGTAATTAATCAATAAAATTTGTTTTATAAGTAGGTTTTCTTTATCCTTTGCAGTGGATTTTTCAGGTTCAATTATTTTTCTGGATGAAAAAAAATGTAGGCTCGATCTATATACAGAGAAGTTAGAACAAATTTCAGTAATAATTTATCCAAATCACTCGACATATGTTAAAAAAATAGAGATTTTTATATACCTTTACCTTATACAGGGCGTTCTTTTTAGATGGTCCGGCTGAATTTAGTCTCGAACCAATGTCGCTATTAAAAAACAAAAAATACTTGTTTAATATTTTTTAGTCTAGTTTCAAATTTTTACCTTTTTTGGGAGAAAAATTATACTACACAGGATACTTCAGGTTCAACTTCAAAATTTCAAATACAACGGTATCCTGACATCATTTTAATGAATTTTTTACGCAGAAAACAATGGTGCAAACGGGTACGTATTAACGGAACAAAATAGGTAATACTTTTAGACTAGTTTCGAATTTTTACTTTTTTTTTTTGAAGAACTGGTGTACAGGGCCTCTCAGGACCAGTTGAACATCAAAATTTTAAATACGACCCAACATCCTGACACATAATTTTAAAGGTTTTTTTTTTTACGCTGAAAACAATGGTGCGATAGGATTTTAAATTGGTCAAAAAATAACAAAGTTATGTGAACAAGAAACGGGCAGTGTAATTTCGACGAGGAGCTGAATATTTTGTTGTATGACAATCAATTAATCTTTTTATGTAAGGCTTTGGTTGAAATGAAAAAGTTAGTGTTACGAGCGGGATTCGAACCCACGATCTTCGGCTTGATACGCCACTAGATTTTGATTCTCGGCGACAAATGAAATGGCCACGGAGAGCTTTAATGAGGTATACTTCATTTTAAACTTATTAAATTCACTAGTTTCGTGGTCCGCTTGACCAATTAATATCTTACAATTAATTAAGATTTTCAGTTGAGATAAAAAAAGTCAATGGCAAGAGCGGGATTCGAACCCACGATCTTCTGCTTGATACGCCGCTGCTGTACCATTTGAGCTATCGTGACCTCGATCCACTCGGACCCTAACTTCCCATCTCAACCCCACCTTTTGAATTTCCCCCCTTTTTTTCAATGTAATTAATATTACCAAAACGTTTGGTTTTGATCCAATAAAACCCCCAGACACGTGTCTAAAATTGGGGAAAAAATTCTGAAGTCGCTGAAATATTTCGGATTTCAAAAATTTAGTTTAAAATGTAAATTTGAATATTAACTTCGTAACAAAATACGCTCGTTAAGCTTAAAAAATGTAGGCAAAAAATAATTGCTTGTTGTTGTTTTTGTACTGACGTCATTGAAAGCTAATTTGGATATCACGATATTTCACAAATTGCCTTTTGTTTAAGAGTTCGATGAAAAACCCCTTAATATTTTAACTAATTAAAGCTTGTTTTTCCCTTCGTGTCAACCCGTTTTCTCAGTACACAGCCGGATGGTTCGGGGTCTCGGCGATTAACCCGTTGAGAAATTCAAACGACCAGGTTGAACACGTCGGGGGTGGCGTTAAGCTTCGAAGGGGTGGGGAAAAGATAGTAAGAGATTTGACCGCCCCCAGTGAGATGTTAACCACTGTGCTGGTTGCATCGGTGCTCGCCGTCTCAGCTCAGACAGATTATTATACGGATATGGACCAAGAAGAGGAGGGTCTGGGTGTCGGAAATAACACAGGTACTTCAATCAAGAGCTAATCTATTTTCTACATAGCACAAGTGTTTTTATCTTATCTATCGGAGTGCTTGAAGACGGGATTCATAGATCTTGGGAAATTATAAAGCCTTGATGTCGCTATTTCAGCGGATCGGAACGTAACGTCGTTGTACCATCCGTATCTGAAATTAAATCCTACTTAAAATGATAAAAAAGTAGAAAATATTTGAAAAAACATTACACATGGCTTTCCAAGACGGTCCGGCCGTATTTTTCCTTCGGCCCTCGATCATAGAGAGACTTGCTCTTCTCCAGGATCTCCTCGCTGCACACGAGGTCGTCTTTCGTGTAGAACTTCCGGGTCACGGTGTGAACTGGTAAAAAGGAGAAAGTGATTCCAGACAACTGGAAAGTGGACAGGTTCGACGGAAATACTCACTGTAGCCGGGAGGGCGCGAAGGGAGGATGTAGGACCGTCCGAGGGCTGTTTTCTGACGGAAACAAAGTTTGAACGGAGGTCTCTCCGGCCTCGGCTTTCCGATACTGTCGCTCTTCGACATTCCTACACAGAAACTAACAAATCTCCCGAGGTGGAGGACCAGCTCATAGTCAACTTAGCAACTCTGTAAACAGTTTTATTGATTTCCTCCCCTGCTTCGTTCCCCAAACCTACATTCATGCTACCGGCTCTTATTCGACTGGGATTAAATAAAAAAACACCTTAAATTCATAAAAATCTACACTTCAATATGCACAAATAAACTCTTTGTACAAAAGATTTAAAAATAAATAGATAGCCATATTATGACAAAATTTCTAACAGGATAAGCTATAATCAAATAAGTTTTTTTTATTACAGCGCCTAAAAACACACAAAATATATAAACAATAAAAAAAAAGATTTATATTTACAAAGGTTTAGGTGCAATATGGTTCAATAAAATATGCAATAAAATGACTAATAAAAAATAGTATTATCCGCCTAAATTTATCTCACCTCGAAAGCAAATAGTAAGATATATAGTTTTCTCTCTTTCCCCCAGATAAATAAATAAACAAATATTTAAATGTATAGTTGAGAATTTAGAAAACAGGATGATGTTTACAATTTCCTTGAAAAGGCTGAACTGTTTGTGATGAAAATTCGGAGAATTTTCTATTTTGATCACCATATAACATTGCTTTTTAATTAGGAAAACGCGTTATTTTATTTAATTACACATATAATTTTTTGTCAGCCTTAAAGTGGTATTTTTTTTATTGGGCGATCTTGGAAAAGATTTATCCATAGGTTTTTCATTTTCGAAAGGAACCGACTGATGTGGACGAGTCGATCGACCAAGGTGTCTTGAGACGCTCTAGGTTTAATTACTTCGACCTAGGTTCAACCACCCTTCTTTGGTAAAATGCCAGCACGCCACATACTTGTATGTATTGTATGTACATTTATAATATAATGAACTATTATTTTTGAAAGTTTTTTTAAAATCGAATATAGAACAACAGGTTGCAATTAACTATATTGCGTTTTAAGAATATTAAACTTGATGAACAAAATGAACAAATAGTAAAAAAGATACAAATAAAAATAAAAATTGTCCCAAATTTGAGAAAGACGAAGTAAGTTATTGTGTCAGAAATGGATCAATGAGGCTGGTAACCCCGGGCAACCATTGCAATCCTCCTCACATCGATTGCGCTACCGCAGCCCTTTCTGGCTTTCTCGGTCGGCCGGTGTGAAATCATCACCGTCGTCTTTTGACGTATCAAAAATATCAACGGTCCTAAATAAGAATTCAAGGGAAATAAAACGTATTTAAAGCCTTAGATCTGGATTGAACGAAATGTAGGTCAAACCAGGACCCCCCCTCCCATGAGGATGAAGGGCGCCTTGTTTTTCCCCCTTTACACAAGCCTGCCTGTTAAATACACTCACTTATATATTTTCACTTAAAAGATTATAGTACAAATTACCTATTCTTGGAACAAAATGGAATTTTAATTTATGTAATTTGTAAGGCTCACGTGGCGTCCTATATTAATAAAATTCAAGTTTGGAACAAGTGATCGAACAGTGAATATTAAAATAATAGAAACAGTGAAATAACTCTGAAATATTGCCTGTTATTCATTTTGTAACTCTGTAGGAAAATGACATTAGTATTTTTTTTATTAATCACAGAAATGTACACAATTGAGAAACAAAATAAATCCCTACCTAAAACAATAGAATGATATGTTTCACAGCACCACAAAATTTTTGCCTAAGTACCTACTAAGCAGAAAAAGCATCTGAAATTGTACCGACTCCATTACAAACAGAAACAGAAACAATATGGTCTACAGGTAGAAACCAGAAGAGGCGCTCAAAAACTGGAAAAATGTTTTGAAAAGAACAAGAAAAGAATAGATAAACACCGAAAAGAATGGAGTTTCAAGTACGATTCAAAGGAGTTTATACGTAAAAGAATTTAAAAATTAATTTACGAAGCCAAAATTGATGGGAAGCGTAATGAAGCAAATTGGTTCCATAGGACAAAGTTAGTCCCTTTCTCTTTTTTTACTTGAAAAAAAAGAGTCATCGACCAATTTGTAAGGCTCACATACCTCCTAAATTAATGAATTGAAGTTTGGAACATGTGTCGAAACGTCGGCAAAAAAATGAAAAACGTGTTTTTCTAAACTACCTCATTCTTGACAGCTCCTCACGACTTCAACAAATTATGAAGTATTTGTAAGGCTCATATGCTTCCTAAATTAATTAATTGATGTTTCTAACAAGTGATCGAACAGTCTTATGTTAAGATAACAGAAACAGTGAAATAACTGAATATTGACTGTTATTCAATTTGTAACTCTATAGTAAAATGACGTTAGTCTTTTTCTAAAACACTATTTTTTTAATCACAGAATNACACAACAGAGGATTTACGATCTTTGACATAAAATCCCATACAATAATAAATAAATATATAAAATTATATATATATTTATCTGAGGGAAAGAGGGAAACCTATTATCTTAATATTTACTTTCGAGGTGAGATAAATGTACGAGGACAATACTATTTTTTTATTACTCGTTTATGCGTACTTTATACTACCCATATATATTCAGATTGTTACAGGGCTAAAAGACAATACTGTCATGGTGGATTCACTAAATAAAACGTATTTCAGTGTCACCAGAACGAGGTATCAGTCACTCTTTCCTGAGATATTAAAATTTTTGTGATTTTAGTCTAAAATCAGATTTTTTTCACATAAAATCGTAATTTTTCAACTTGGCATTGAAATACAAATCTGACTTTTATTTCGCAAACTACAATAAATTTTCCACAAGATAACAACATACGGATTGAAGAGTTTGGATAGAAACTTTCTGTAGGGTTGGATTTTTAATTTGTTGTGCGAAACCTGACAAAAAAGGGGGACTGATAGACAAATTAAAAGTTTTTTGACGAAGAATTAATCACTGATAATTAAAGTAATCCATTAGTATCATAGCCACATGGGATGAAAATTAGGTCGAATGTTCGTCTGGATTATCGTTTCAAGCTTTTACACCGGCTTTTTTCATGGGTAAAACAATATTGTGAACATTCGGATTAACGTTTAATGCGCCTGAACGATCCGTTCTATTTATACCCGGAAGAGATTATCACTCGATATATTGATAAGGGATCGATCTGTTGACCTTTTGAACCGTTGTATTCTTTTTTGGGAACTGAATTTTTTCTTTATTACTCAAATATTTCTTAGGTTTAATAATTTTTTAAAAATGATTATTCGGAGATCGTGAGATGCGGTGTGACGTAAGTTTAAAAAAAACATTTTCTTTATCGTACCAACGTTTCGATCTTTATAGAGATCATCTTCAGGGCCTGGGATTTATAAACATTGTTTGGTTTTTACAACTGCATGTAGGATGTGGTAAAAATTTATAAAAAACTTATACAATGCTGGCAAATTTTAGATTAAAAAATGAATTTATAAAATGCTAGAAAATTTTAGATTAAAAAAATGAATTTCTAGAATGCTAGAAAATTTTAAATTAAAAAAGTGAATTTATAAAATGCTAGAAAATTGTAGATTAAAAAAATGAATTTATGCAATGCTAGAAAATCTATCTAAAATTTTCTAGCATTGTATAAATTCATTTTTTTAATCTATAATTCCGAAACACATTTACAATTTAAACAATGTTTATAAATCCCAGGCCCTGAAGATGATCTCAATAAAGACCGAAACGTTGGCTCGATAAAGAAAATGTTTTTCTAAAACCTACGCCACACCAGACCGCATCTCACGATCTCCGAATAATCATTTAAAAAAAAAAGTTTATTTTCAAAGTAAAAGCGTATAAAATTTAAGTAAGTGAAACTTATTGTAAAGTCTATATATTTTTTTCTCTATTGATATCCAATAACCAGGTGCTACCATGATCCGTATTGACAGAAGTAACATGTCCTTTTTTAAAACTTTTTTCACCAAAAGGCAGGTTTAGAATACCAAATTTGAACATTTTTTGTTACATTTGTATTTATAGGCAGTTTGCGATAACAAAAAAAAAAAAAAAATGGTTTGAAGTATTCTTAGAATAACAAGACCCGGTATAAAAGTTTGGGCAGGGACTTGCCGAGCCAGATGAAAATAGCTTTTATTTTTTTCACCAAAGTCAGGAACCGGCTGCTAAGCTGCCGAATCGATTCAGGCGATAAATTACGAAAGAACGTGTTGTAGGGTGAAATAACAGATTGATCCTTCTAAGCTGGAAACAATGAGTAAATTTATTCTTAAACTAACTCAGTGCCTTTCCCAGTACAATATTTAGACTATTTGCCGTTTACGTAATACAAGGGAGATTGAGAAATTTAACGGCTTGAAAACTAAAATTAAATTAAAAGCAAATTTAAAAGATTACACATAATAGTTTGTTATATATTGTATTACAGTTTAAGTTATTAACTGCTAAACGTGACCGATTTGACTTTAAAGTCCATTATTTGTGACCTAGAGATC